ATTTATATTTAATATTTTAAAAACTTCTCTTGTATTCATTTATTTAATATATCACTTCTATATAATGTTAGTTAATAATAATATTCTCCAGAAAGTCGAGAAATGTTAACGAAAATACAACCTCATAAATTTGTCACGACATTAAATTTCGTTTGAATCCTCTTTTGTTTTCCCGGTGGAATTAAAATTTCATCAAATTTTCAACAATTTTTGGAACACTTTTTACTTCAAGCGATTGTAATCACAATTAAAAATGTTCTATTCTCTTCTGAAATCTAATTTCCCTACTTAATCAATCATGTCTGTAAAAAAAAAATTTTTTTTATTCCGAACTATGCTCCTTCGATCTCTACAATACGGTCTCTCTCTCTCTCTCTCTCTCTCTCTCTCTCGACCTCATTATAAAAATATTCACAATCACCTCATCGTATTTCCAACTGCTTACTCGTCCCGAACTCCGTGTAAATTACGTTGGTCGAGCAACGACGAGAGGGTTGAAACAGGGAAATTTTTTTTCTCGCGCGAGATCGACGCGTTACGGCGACCGTTTTATTGCCGGCCACCGCGTCGTAAATCATTCACCGCGGCCCGTCCGCGAAAGTTCGCCGACCGCATTTGTAGAGGATTCATTTGAAATTCATTCGGACAAGGGGAAGAAGCGGCGGCAATGCCCGAAGACTTTTAAAACTCTTCGCTCGCCCGGATTTAATTACGTCCTGTAACGCGTTTCCCCTGGCGGCTCCGCGAGGAGGATGTTCGTACGCTCGTTTGTCCGCGAAACTAAAACTTGATTACTTATCATTGGGAAGTTTTATCGCCCGTGACGTGCGCGCACGACCGATATGGATCGTTTTGAAATTTTATTGGCATCAACACACTATCATGTTTATCGTGTGGATGACTCGAGAAGGATGTTATTGCTGAGATTATTCTACAATAGAAGAGAGAAATGGGAAACAATATTAAAATTCGAAGATTGCAGTAGTCCGTGACAAGAGTTCCTTTTTGCTCGCGGGAGGAGATGATTCTCTGTTAATTGTAGCCGTGTTTGCTCACATAGAACGCACGTTAAAAATGTAACGAGTAGTCTTCTTCAAACTCGTATTTTATTCGCTCCTTTTATTAATCTTAATTTCTCAGAGTTCTACTTTATTTCGAACTTGATTTCATTTTAGTTCTGCTCCGCGAGCTCGTGAAAATCGCAAACTCCTCGCAAAGAGATATATAATTCCTAATTCTAAATTTTAATTTCGCTTTGTGCTTCATTAAATGAAAATCTTTCAAATTCTGTTCCAGGTTATACACGCCATACTAATCTTTTACTGCATTATGTACATAGTTTTTTACGCTTTATAAAAACTTTAATCTTTTGATTCTATCTTCCGTTTTCTACCTTCAATTTCAAAAATCAACCGCTCAACGATTCGATAATTGGTGCTTATTTTATACGAATAATACACGATATGTCATCAACAAATTCCGAGGTATTTTTGGTGGCATATCGTTACATATCAGCGTATAGAACATGTTAGCTTCTGAGATCTTGCAAATGACAGAATGGAGCGTTACGTTCAAAGTGGCCGTGCTCCGTGTTGCATGCAAACCAACAACTGGTTGACTAATACACTGGTTTGGTTAATTAACACGCTTGCGCCATTAATAACCGGGACGAAGATATCCAGAGGGTTTAATTCAGAGCGGCGAGTTGCTAGCGCTAAAAGGCCATATTGTCTAATCCACTTTCCTCGAAACGACCCAATGAGTTATGCTGGCATCTGCTAAGCAACATTCAAGGAGCCACGCTTCTGTTATTAATGCCCTGGGGATCAAATTAATTTGATTCTATTAAAAGGAAGACCTGAGAATAACATTTAGAATGATATTACGATTGTAATTAAGAATACTGCCGAGTTTCTGTTCGTAACGAAAGTCGTGGGATTATTGTCAATTTTATAGGATGCTTTTGTAGGATTATTAATTTCAGTACTGTGACGAAATAGTCTGTAGGCAGCTTATGCTTCGCATTACGTCAAAGCGAAGAAACTTACTTTAAAAATTACTTTAAAAACCTTTGCTCAATCTGTCTGTACGAGGAATAAATTTTAGGAATATTCAGTCAGCTTTTTGTCAAAAATTCAAAGATCATTTCTGCACATTCTTTTATCAAATACTACTGCGCACAGCATAAAAGCTGCTTACTCGAAAGCCTTGGTACAGTTTTTATTTTCAATATTCGTTATTTATCGCAAATAATAAAATTTTGATATTATACGTGTAATATTTAATTCATTCATATTAACATGATCGAACACTGTAAAATTTCTTTGGAGAACTTTGTTGTGGAAAAAAGCTTTGCAATATTTCCATGATCGCAACATTTTCGAATAATACCGAAATTAAATTAATTTAAATTCTAAAACATTATTTGAAGCGTCGTAAGCTAATTCATAAGATTAATAAATTACGAGAACAATCCAACTTCAAATAATTTCAAATCGTCACGTTTCATTACTCCATTTCCCCAATTTTATTCTAAGATTAACTTACGGCTTGTTACATTACGACAAGAGATCGAACTGCGAGTGATCGTTAGAAATTCCTG